AAAAAAAAAAAAAAAAAAAAAAAAAAAAAGAAGAAAAGAACAATAGAGGCATTTCGTTTGGCTTAAACGAGTTTCTTTTAATTCTGTTGGGATATTTAGAAAAAAAAAAATTTATATCATTATCGGTGGAGTAACCGATGATTTGAAATAACGAATAAAATAGAAATTACCACGAAAGTACGAGATTAAATTCAGCAGCAGGAGATCCATCTGTATAATGAAATCAATTTTATATAATTTAATTAATATCGGAAGTATATATATATATATATATACCGAATAGTCCACGTGCCCGGGTGCAAGTCGCTGGCATTCTCGTTTGGATGAAAAACGCGATTAAAATAATAGTTTCGAAGAATCGAAAACCGTTCGGCTGATCGAACTTCTACGGCTACATTGAAGTGAATCCGAGCCGAAGGCCGCGGTCTAAATTCGTCTCTCGTTGAATTTCAGTTCTTATTCCTCTCATGGATTCTACATGTGACCTTGGATCATTGACATTACAAATGGTCGATCTCTAAGTCATGTTTCTCATCTACGTTTCCTACCAAGTAACAATTTTCATCACTCGGAAAGAATGATTTCACTTTGGATCAACGAAGATGAAGAGATTGCACGAGATTTCGCAATAATTTCTCGTTGACAGATCGTCGGCAAAGGAAACGTGGAACAACGATTCGTCAATTGAATTGAATCTTCACAAAGGGAGGGAAATCATATTCACGAGTGGAACTGATTTCGGGCGCGTTTACTTCCGCGAAAATAAAATTTTTCGCTCAAGACGTTCCGGCTGAAACTCGGAAGAGAAACAGCGGCACGATGCCATGCTTGTAGTACGTGCAAACTACCGAAGTACCTATCCTTTCTGTCGTTTTTCTTACTCATTTTTCTCTCTCTCTCCTGCTCCTTTGTTCCCTTGGAGTTTAGCCAGACGATTATTCTCGAGGGATCTTCCCTCGAAAAGGGACTCAACTTTCGAGTCAAAATAATTTGTTTCCCTTTTTTTTTTTTTTTTTTTTTTTTTTCTCCTATAAATGGTTTAGCTATAACACGACACTGCGGTCTTAACACGCGAACCTTGAGCTACTTTAAACCTACCGGCACCGGGCTCAATTTGGCGACTATCTCCCTCAAGTAAGAAAAAATGCAGGAAGCATTGAAACTCTTCCGCAAAAGGGGTCCGTTCATAGGTCGGCCTATATCAAGCTTGACCTTTATCCTATCCAGTAT